TGATATTTTAATATACCTGTAGATAGTGAAAATGGTTACTGTAGTCGAGTGAATTAACATATCCATCATTACACATTGTTATCTTTTTATGGGGATCAAGATCTCCAAAATCTACTCTCTTACTAAAGATCCCAAATACAGTACAATAATCTTGACTTTGTCCTCATGTTGTACATAGGAACTCTAGACTTGTTTGTCCTACGTATCTGTGACTTTTTATCCTTTGACCTATATCTCCCCATTTCTTCCTTGACCCACTTCACTTTTTATGTGAAGTGAAATAAACCAGACAAAGAAAGAAAAATACTGCATGATCTCATTTATGTGTGGAATCTGAAAGAAGAAAAAAGCATGTTTGTTCTTATTGCTGCAGAGTATTTCATTACATAAGCACACCACCATGTATTTATCCTGCTGTTGTTAATTCATATTTGGGTTGTTTCTGGCTTTGACTGAACGAGTAGTGTCACTGTGCACACACAAGTATACCTTGTGGATACTGTGCCTTCAGTTCCAGAAGGCAATACAGTATTCACTGCAATATACAATTCACTGCAATACAGTGAATATCGCACGAAAGTGAGTCACACACATAGTTTGGACTCCCAGTGCCAATAAAGTTATGTTTATACTATACTGGAGTCTATTAAGTATGCAATAGCACTAAATCTTAGTTAAAAATATTTTATTGTTAAAAATGTGAATGATATCTAAACCTTATGCCAATTGTAATCTTTTGCTGGTGCAGAATCTTGCCTCGATGTTAGGGGCTGCTGACTGAGCAGGGTGGTGGCCGCTGAAGGTTGAGGAGATGATGGCAGTTTTAAAAATTTTAAAAAATAAGGCAACAGTGAGGTTTGCCACATTGATTGACTTAATTCCTGTAGCATGGGATTGTTATAAGTAGAATTTTCGATGCTGCAAAAGAAGCAGCATTCCAATATAAATTTCCTCAACAAGACAATTTGCTTCCATAGAAGGGTGCAGCTTGATGATGGAACAATGGCAAGTGGACGCCTGGACAAGGAGGGGAAGAGGTACTTATGCCTGTCGGGGGTCGTCCCTACTGCTGTGTTGTTCCCCTATTGGCTAGGGTTAGACCACACAAGCTAGACTAATCCTGATTGGCTATTTTAAAGAGAGTAGGGGTCCGAGCTGGAGTGAGAGGGTGGGTGGCTCTGTGGGAAGGACAGTTATAGGCAGGTCAGAGCAGGTAGCCAGGGGTGATCTAGGTTAAAGAAGGTGACTGAAACGGGTGACCAGGATGAGTCAGGATGGAGCCGGAGCTGCGGGCCAGGGGAACAGATGTGGACTACTGATTAGAACCGGTGGAGAAGGTTGTTTACTGGAACTACAAGGAAGTTAAACTTTAAAATAGAGAATCAAAGAATAAGAGAGCTGAACATACTGACGTACCGATTCTTGGAAGAGAAACTTGGGGTTCACTATATCTAACATGATGGTGTTTGACGGCATTTTAGCCCACAGTAGCACTTTTTTAAAAATTGGAGTCAACCCTCTCAAACCTTACAGCTGCCTTATCAACTCAGTTTGTGTAATAGTCTAAACGCTTTGTTGTCATTTCAACAATATTCACAACGTTTTCAACTGAAATCAATTCCATCTCAAGAAGCCGCTTTCTTTGCCCATCTCTAAGAAACAGCTCCTTATCTATTCAAGTTTTATTATGAGATGGCAGCAATCAGTCACATCTTCAGGCTCCACTTCTGATTCTGGTTGCCTTGCTATTTCTACCACATCTACAATTACTTCCTCCACTGAAGTCTTGAGTCCCTCAAAGTCATTCATGATGGTTGGATCAAATTCTTCCAAATTTCTTTAAATGTTGATATTTTGATCTCCTCCCATGAATCACAAATATTCAGAATGACATCCTTTCCAGAAGGTTTTCAATTTACTTGGCCCAGATCTATCAGAGGAATCACTCTTTATGGAAGTTACAGCCTTACAAAATGTTTTCCCTAAATAACAACACTTGAAAGTTGAAATTACTCCTACAGAGGGATGTTGTATTAGCAGACATGGACACAATATAAATCCTTGTATATTTCCACTAGAGCACTTGGGTGACCAGGTGCATTGTCAATGAGCAGCAATACTTTGAAGGGAATTGTGCATGTGCCTTTTTTTTTTAGCATTATGTCTCAGTAGTATGCTTAATATATTCAGTAAACCATGCTGCAAACAGAAATACTTGCATCCAGGATTTGTTGCTTTCTCATACGTAGAGTAGACTTAGCATAATTCTTAAGTGCCTTAGGATTTTCAGAATAGTAAATGAACATTGGCTCCAACTTAAAATCACTAGCTGCATTAGCCTCTAACAAGAGAGTTAACCCGTCGTTTGAAGCTTCAAAGACAGACATTGACTTCTCTCCAGTTGTGAAAATACTAGATGGCATCTTCTTCCAACAGAAGGCTGTTCAATCTACACTGAAAATCTCTTCTTTGTGTAGTCACCTCCATCACTGATTTTAGCTGCGTTTTTGGGATAACTTGCTGCAGCTTCTACATGGGCATTTGCTGCTTCACCTTGTACTTTTACATTATGGGGATGGCTTCTTTTGTTAAACCTCATGAACCAGTCTCTGCTAAACTCCAGCTTTTCTTCCACAGCTTCCTCACTTCCCTCAGCCTTTATAGAATTAAGGCTAGTTAGGGCCTTGCTCTGGACTAGAAGACTAGACTTTGGCTTACGGGAATGTTGTGGCTAGTTTGATCTTCCATCCAGACCATTAAAACTTTCTCTATATCACCAATAAGGCTGTTTTGCTTTCTTATCATTTATGGGTTCACTAGAGTAGCACCTTTAATTTTTTTCCAAGAACTCTTTCTTTGCATTCATAGCTTTGTTAATTGTGTTTGGTGCAAGAGTTCTAGCTTTCAGCCTGTCTTGGATTTCGACATGCCCTCCTCAGTAAGCTTAATCATTTCTACCTTTTCATTTAAAGTGAGATATGGATAACTCTTCTTTTCACTTTACAACGAGGCATCAGGAGGGTTGTTAGTTGGCCTTATTTCAGTATTACTGTGTCTCATAGAATGTGGGGGCCCAAGGAGAGGAGAGAGATGGGCAGCAGCAGAAACACACACATTTGTAGATTTAAGTTCACAGACTTATATGACCATGGTTCATGACATAGTGCTTCAAAACAATTACATATTAACATCAAAGACTGCTCATCGCCAATTACCATACAGATGTAATGACAATTAAAAAGTTTGAAACATTGTGTGAGACTTGCCAAAATGTGACACAGAGAGAGGAAATGTGCATTTGCATGTTGGGGACATGGCACTGATATTGAGACATGGCGCTTGACTCGAAGTTGCCATAAACCTTCAATTTGTAAAGAACACGGTATCTATGAAGCATGATAATTCCAAGCGCGACAAAATGAGGTGTGTCTCTGTTTGTACATGTGTGTGCCTTTGAAGTCAGGTATACATCCAAAAGTGAAATTGCTGAATCCAAGGGTGTGCACATCTCTCTCTGACCTCTAACCCAAGATTTAAAGGGCTCATATGAGTAGGTCAGGTCAGCCAAGTCAATCTCCCTATTTTTGAATTCAGCTCTTCCCTAGAGGATAGTCTAATCACAGAAGTAAAATCCATCCTGTTCATAATCTTGTGGATCCCACAGGGCATACAGAACATGGAGCAGGACTCCTGGGGGCATCTTAGAATTCTGCACAACACATCCCTTTTGTTCAATGCCTAGGAAGCTTTTCTAGAATTTCTAAAAAAATTGTAAGGGTTTTGTCAGTTGTCTCCGGGACAGTTACTGTGTTTAACTTGGTCAGTCTTCTGGGACCAGTTACTGTGCTTAACTTGGTCATTCTCTTTAATATGTTCTCTCCCCCAAGTCTTGTAAACCTTGTTTTCTTGTTCATTTTTCAATAAAGTCCCTTTGCCATTGAACTGCTCCATTTCCCCAAGAGGCTCTCCTTGAACGGAAAGGCTGCTAGGGGCTTTGTGGCAGGTAGAATGCCCCCAGACGCAGACATTTTGGAGGAATCTGCATTTCAATAGGGTGTGGATACTAAGATTGGCAAAGAATAGGAGATTTTAGAGAGCCTCAGTATAAATACACACTAAGCAAGTTCCAGTTCTGGGTCATAGTTTTATTTCCTCAATATCTATTGATTAGGTGAAGCACTGATTGTTAACCACGCTCTGAATGAAGAGACCACCTAAACAGGCTTTGTGTGAGCAACAAGGCTATTTATTCATCCAGGTGTGAGTGGGCTGATTCCAAAAAGAGGGATTTAGCAGATGGTGGTGGGATAGGGCCTGGTTTTATAGGTTGGGGGTAAGTAATGGAAAGGGGGGGGCGGTGTCACAGTGTCCAATGTCACAAGGTTGACTCATCAGTTGAGGCAAGAAAAATGGTAGAATTTTGCCAGGTCGGTTAATCAGATCACAGGGTCCAGTGTCACAAGGTCGACTTATCAGTTGAGGTAGAACAATGGTGGAACTTTGCAAGGTTGGTTAATCAGGCACTGCAGGAGCTAGCTAATCTTCTCCTTTTGTGGTTTTCTTGTTATCTAATATTTTCTGTCTCCGGGGGGCCATGTGGAGGTGTACGTGTGGGTCACGGGGTCACCATGGCTTGACTATGGTATAGTCCATGGTGCAGTCAGTCCAAAGAACCTTGCACTGCTGTTTCCCAAGCTCCAACAAGCAAACTATTAGCTTCCCCAGGAAAATACTTTTGGGAGAATTGTTTCCTTGCTTTATTTTGGAGGCAGTTACCATTACTTTAAAATTAAATACTATGATGAGAGAGAGACTAAGATATCAAGGCAAGAAAACTTCCAAATTACCCAAAAACTTCTGGACAGAAAACAGTTGAAGAGGGAGAAGGCAGAAAGACATTCCTAGCCCTGAGTAGTCAATGACCTATTTATTTGCTGGAGATGACAGTTGATATTATATATTCTTTAATGATACATGATTTTTACATTACTCTTTGACAGGTGACAGATAGTTTGGAGTACTATATTGAGGTCAAAATTGCCCGAACAATTTGCAAGAAAATTTCAGGAGATGAAAACTGTGCATTTCAAAAGGATCCCAAAATGCAAAAGGTATGTGGCTGAGACAAGGGGAAACTCCTTGCCTGTTAAGATTTGTATACTAGATCGTATTCAGGACTGCAGATGATGAGGTTCTAGGCACAGAGCATCATTTCTACCATATTGCTGATGACAGCCTTCCCCACCTGAAAGTTATGGGATCTCTGGGGTGTTGCTTTTCTAGCTGGAATCCTCTACAGCTGGTGGCACCTTTGCCCAAGTTCTTGTCCTGCATCTGGAAAGAATGAGATACACAGACAAGTGGAGGTGGGGGCAAGATGAAGAGGAGCTTCACTGAGTGTTAGAACAGCTCAGAGAAACCACGTGGTGGGTAGCTCCTCTGCAGTCAGCTTGTCCTGAGTGTTCAGCTCTCAGCAGAGAAGGCAGTTCCTCTCTGCAGCTGGTCATCTGGTAGTCTTCCCAGCTCTCAGCAGAGAGGAGAGCTCCTTTGTGCAGCTTGGCTTTTATGGTTTTCAGAGGAGGGAAATGTGTGCTTATTTGTCCATGAGCAGTCGTGGGTGGGCCCAGGAATAAGTACAAGTTCCCCCTCTCTGGCCTGCAGGACTGGCAGGCCAGCCAGAGGCCCCAGGCCCTCCTCAGCCTGAAGGCGGGGCTTCATCTGGGTCACACCCCCTTCTGCCCAGGAAGCTGTCTGCCTCCCACCACCCTTCATGGCCCAGGCTGTTCATGCCAAGGGGCTCCTGCAGGCCAGTGCTGAGCTGTCTTCAGCAACCCCTCATCCTCAGCAACCCCTTGTCCTCCCTCCCAAGGTCCTTGGTGCCCAAGGATTGGAGGAGGCCAAAGCAACAGGGGCCAGAGTATTACAGCTGGCCTGAGCATGCACACACCTGGCTGGGTTGTGACAGCTCCAGGCTCTGCCCCAATCTTGCTGGATGGTCAGAGCAGGCACCAGGAGCGGGGAGAGGCCAGGCAGTGTGAGCAGACATCTCAAAGCCTGTGGCAGGAAGGGAGGCCTTCCCAGGCCTCAAGAGCACAGAGATGCCCAGGTCTGCAGCTGGGCTTGGGCAGCTGCAGCTGAACCTAGGGGCTCCTGCCCCCCACAACTCAGAAGCTAGGGGTTTCTGCTTGTCCTCGAGTCCTGGGGCCACCTCCCTGCTCTAGCCGGTGTCTTGTCAGTAGCCACTCTAGATGTGCCGCTGCTGCCATCACCACCACCAACGCGCGCGCGCACACACACACACACACACTCTCTCTCGCTCTCTCTCTCTCTCTTTCTCTCTCTGTTAGTGGCTTAAAGTAAAATCAACTCATTATTTCTCAGTATTCTGCAATCTGGGCTGTTTTCTGCTGGGGCAGGAATATTCTAGATAGCTGCTTTACTCATGTGTCTGGCACCTCCACGGGAATGGCTGAAACAATGGGGGGCTTGCCAGGCATCCACCCCATTCTGCTCGGGGACTCCTCATGGAGCAAACTTGTAGAGTGATCCAGTCAACCTGGTTTGTCAAAGACTGTAGGCTTTCCTGGGATGCAGGCCTTTCGGTACTAAAACCAGGGAAATTTTGGCAAACCAAGATGGGTTGGTCGTCCTACACTTGGACATTCTCACAACATGGGGCTTCCAGAAGAGTCAAAATTCTTAATTAGCTTCTAAGAGGAAGAAGCAGAAGCTGCCAGCAAAACTGACAGAGAAGAAAGTGGTGGCCGCCATCTTGGTTCACTGCCCACTCCGGCACCCTCTGCTGAGGGGTGCTGGCCCAGTAGAAGGCACAGCCTGACCTTCCCTCACTGCAGTCCTTGAAGAGCATTTTTCTCCGGCTGGGACTCCACAGGCCTGTGATTGCTTTGAAGCAGGGGTTGTTGCAAGCAACGCTTCTTGGCTAATTCTGATACCAGTGGGTTAGGGGAGATCCCCACATGCCGGCAGGACCTCGACCCTGGGTGGTGTCTAGGCTTATGACACCCGCATAAGGAGGAATTCAAGGACAAGTTTGAAAATACTGAAAATACTGAGATTTGTTGCAAAGCAAAAAGAACACACTCAAGAAGGAGGGAGTGTGGGTGTGTACCGGAGAGAGTCATGTGCGACGGGGTTTGGTGCTCCGACCTTTATGGGTTTCTTTAACCAAGGGGTGGAATATTCACGAAAATTCCTGGAAAAAGTTGGAGATTTCTTGGACCGATGTGCCACCCATTTTTACATCAAATATGGGTGTTTCCGGAGCTCCATGGTGCTGGTGGGCGTGTATTTAGTATATTAATAAGCACATAATGAAGGCCTAGGTGAAACTTAAGTCAAATCCAGTGTGCCGTGTTGGGCCCAGTCAGTTTTAGCCAGCTTGGTCCACACCCTGGTCTTCAGGGTACTATCAGCCCCTAGCCTCTGCAGCTGTTTCAACAGTTTCCTTTTGCTGGTCATGCAAAGCTACTGCCTGGAGTTTCCTATTCTCCTGCAACCACCCTATAGTATTCCTTTCTCAATCCCACTAGTCCAGCTGCTGCATGGAAGTCCTACAAGGCTCTGGAACTGTCCCAAGACTAGCCCAAAGGCCCTGCATGCTTCCCATAGTCTCCGAGGTCCAGGCTACTGCTGCTTCATAGCAAGATGAGGGACAACCTCAGCCAGGCCAGGGTGTTGTCAGATGGGGACCATCACTAAGGCAAGTTCATCGCAGAGGAGCAGGAGTAATAAAAAATTCCCTTACTCTCCTCGTATTTGATTAACAGGGATACATTTCAGATGTAAATCGAATATTTTAAAATATATATAAATATTTTCTAAAGGTATATTCTCATAAACATGTAAGTGGTAACAGTGAGATCATGCCCCTTGGACTCCTGGATGATGCCCCAATTCTGCCCCCTGCCCAGGAGTTTCCACTGGGATCATTTGTGTGGACAGCCTTAAGATAATTTCACTATAAATTTACATAAATGACATTGTCTTTTTTCTCTTTCCTTTTTTATTTAAATAACTGCTGACACGTAGTGTGTTTTTTGACGTAACTTTCTCTTTTTAACATTTGTCTTGGTAATCTCATAGATATTTTTTCCAATTTTTTTCTTTCATAAATGGAACTAAATTGAAAATCCTTATATATGTGTTTCTGTGCCTTGTGTATTTTTAAATCTATTTACTAAATACCTAAAGCAGGCACAAGACATGGATTGGCAGAATTCGTGGCAGATAAGTGATTGGCAAAAACTGCTCAGACATAATGCCAATTAAAAATATCCTCATATTTAGGCGGGGCATGGTGGCTCACGCCTGTAATCCCAGCACTTTGGGAGGCTAAAGCAGGTGGATCACCTGAGGTCATGAGTTCAAGACCAGCCTGGTTAACAGGGTGAAACACCATCTCTACTAAAAATACAAAAATTAGCTGAACGTGGTGGCACATGCCTGCAGTCTCAGCTACTTGGGAGGCTGAGGCAGGATAATCGCTTGAACCTGGGAGGCAGAGATTGCAGTGAGCCAAGATTCTACCACCGTACTCCAGCCTGGGTGACCGAGCGAGACTCCATCTCAGAAAAACAAAACAAAGCAAAACACCTCATATTTCAATGAAGAGCAGACGTCACGGCAGAATGCCAAGTGCAAGGCGGTGGCTAAATCTAGAGTGAATTCTTGTAAAAGATTAGGAATAATTTTAAATTAAGTGATATTTCAAAAATCCAGGAAAGTACTAAGAATGATATATCTAATGCCCATGTGCCTACCGTACAAATTTTATCATTTTATTACATTAATTTTAGATATCTATTTTCTAAGATTTATTTTTATTTATTTTAAAAAATAAATTTTATTGGGTATATCACATGACAATATGTGATTCATATACCTAGTAAAATGGTTACCATAATGAAGTAAAATAACATATCCATAATCTCCCATAGTTATGCATTGCTTTTGTGACATGAATAGCTAAATCTAGTCATCTAGCAGAAATCCCAAATTCAGTGTAATTTAATTAACTATAATAATGTACATTAAATCTCATCCTGCATCTGCCCATTTGTAACTTCTTGCCTGTATCTCCCAACCCGCACCCCAACCCCCTCTGCAGATAACCATTATTTTAATCCTTTCTCTGTATATTTGACTCTTTCTTTTTAGATTCCACATATAAGTGTGATCATGCAATATGTTTTTTTCTGTGCCTGGCTTGTTTCATTTAGTTCAATGTCCTTCAGCTTCATCCATGCGGCCAGTGACAGGATCTCCTTCTTCTTGAAGGCTGAATAACATCTCATTGTGTGTGTACTGCATTTCCTTTATACATCCATCTGTTGATTAGGTTGTTTCCACATGCTGGCTATGGCGAATAGTGTTGCAATGAACACAGGAGACACAGGACTGCAGGTATCTTTATGAGGTGACGATTTGCTTTCCAGAGGGACTGCTGAGTCACATGATAGTTCTATTTTTAATTTCTTTAGGAAGCTCCATACTGTTTTTCATAATGGCTGCACCAGTTTACAGTCCCAGAAACAGTGTACGAAGGCTCTCTTCTCTCCACGCCCTCACCAACATTCTTTATCTCTTGATTTGGATAATAGCCATCCTAATGAGTATTGTGAAATATTTATTTTAAAAAGTGAAACGTTGCACATCTATTGTGCTCCCCCGTCACAGATAACCACTCTTCTGTCATTGGTGGGTAACATTTCTTCCTATGTTTAAAAACTTTTGCCTCTGTAAAAGAATTTTGTGTGCTTTTCAAAATTTACATGCAATTTGGAACTTTTCTTTTGGTCTCAACAATATATTTTGAGATTTATCCATGTTGGTACAATCTACTATTATTTAATCATGTGGAATGATTTTTTGGGCCACTTGATGCATCTAGAAATAGGCCAAAAATCATTTTTATTATTGTACATTAAGCTATTATATAACTACATAATACTGTATTTTACCATTCCCTATTTTGAACACTTTTGGCTGTTTTCAGTTTCTCGCTCTATTTTTAATTTTATTTATTTACTTTTAGAGACAGGGTCTCACTCTGTCATCCAGGCTGGAGAGCAGTGCCATGACCTTGGCTCACTGAAGCCTCAACCTCACGGGTGCAAGTGATTCTCCCATCTCAGCCTCCTGAGTAGCTGGGACTGCAGGCATGCACACCACACCTGGATGTTTCTAGGTTTTGTTTATAAGACTCGATTTTTAATATCTTGCATAATTTTTATATTTTTTTGGAGATGTAGGTCTCCCTATGTTGCCCAGGCTGGTCTCGAGCTCCTAGGACCAAGCAATCCTCCTGCTCCAGCCTCCGCAAGTGCTGGGATTACAGGAGTTTTTCAGTTTTAGCAGTAATGCTTCAGTGAAAGTCCTGATAAATGCCCACTGTGCCAGGAAGCGAGAATCTCCACAGAGACAGCACTGGAGTGGGGCTGCTGTGTCCTGAACCATGCACAACTTCCGCTGCAGTGTGGCGGGCCATGTGTGATGCCTGGCTCCACGTTTACTCACCAAAGTGGTTAAACCAGCATAGCTTCCATCAGTGGTGTGGGTAATTGTTCATTTTTCCACAGCCATGCCAGCACTTGGTGTTAGGAGTCTTAAATTTCTCCGGTGTGATATATGTGAGGTGTTATCTCCTTATCACTTCACCTTGCCATCTCTCTAATTTGTAGCAAGGTGGGATGTTTTAATATTTCTAGGTTTTATTTATAGGATTTGCTTCTTAATATCCTTCATTCTAGAGCAATCAGGCAGCCCCTGTTGGGGCTTAGTCCTTAGGTGGAGAAACAGCTAACACACTGCGACTCCCTGAGCTCACTCTCCTCCAGCTGCCCACTTTTCTGATTTTATCTCCTGTTGGCCAAACTCAACTGGAAGCCAGAAGGTGCCCACTGACACTGTCCTTGGTGGTAATAGGACAAGGGTGCCCATTGGCACAGTCTACAGAGGTCAGAGTATAAGGGTGTCCATTTGAGCAACCCCCAGAGATCAGAGGGTATGGGTGCCCACTGGAGCTGCCCATGGAGATCAGAGGGCAAGGGTGCCCATTGGAGCTGCCCATGGAAGTCAGTTTTCCAAGGCATGCCAGGTAGAGACAGAAGAAGTGCAGGCCTTCGGGGACAAATGGAGAAAATTCAGCAGAGGGGCGGGGGTGGAGATGTGTGGGCCGTATGAGTCAATTAGTATTCTATTGAGATATCTCAAACAAGAGATGATGTTAGTTAGGTTGGGGAAGTGGTTAGATTCTGGGTCTGTGAAAGTTTGTTCAGAATTTGCTGATAGATTAGCCAAGGACTATGAAAGGAGGAAACTCAGGATGGCTTCGGGTTTGAGAGGTTTGGAGGTGGTTTACTGCCTTGGTTTTCTCTTACGATTGCATCCTCTATCTTGAGTGCTTGGCACTTGATGAACTTTTATTCATTTGCCCCCATCTATTTCTTATCATGTGGAGATTTTCAGCTGTCTCTTCCCTTGAATGGGGCCCTTTCCTGTTTCATAAAGCTCCTATAGATTGGACCCTATCTGTTTTCTTGGTTTATTTATTGGTATTTAGGAAGGAAGAAAGTGTGGCTATCTGGGATCCTTGGAAAATAAATTTTAAAACAATATTATTTTAAAATAATTATTGGCCTGATTCATTTAATGTAAAAAATTTGGAAATTTTCAAAAATATTAGGCATTTTAAAATCAACTATAAATACCCTTATATAAAGTTTACCACTGTAAATATACTGGTATATATTTTAGTTTAAAAATATTTTATATTTATATTTTTTGTAGTTGAGAGCATAATAAATACTGTCTCATGGTCTGGATTTTCATTTAATAATAAGTCCTAAGCATTTCCAAAACTGTAAAATTATTAGAGAGCATCACGTAATGAAACTACTCAGTGTTATTTTATGATGCTTTCATATATTATTTAGCTAATTCTGATAATTGATGATTTAAGATTTCCCCTAATTTTTAGCTGCTTTGGACAGTGCTATAATGAATAGTCTTATTTCTTTGTGTGTGTAGGTCTGATTATTGTTTCCTTATAGGGACTGTTCTCAGAAATTGAATTACTTATCCAGTATTTTGTCACCTCTTAAGGATCTTAATATACATTGCTAACATATCCTCTAGGACTGAGCTTGATAATTGAGCTATTCAGGTAATCTGTTTCCTGATGACTGTTTTCTGTCTACCTTGGCTGGTCTGGAAGTTAAGCAGCTGCTTAGTCAACTCTCTGGTAAACCCGATGCCCACTCTCTGTCTTCACACCATTGGCACACACAGGCTTCCCCAACCCTAGATCTCCCTCCTGCCCAGGGGCAGATGTCTGGACTCCGTTCTGCCATGCCCTGTCTGAGTTTCTGGTTTTGTATACTCTTTTCTCCCCCAAACTCTTCCTGCACCTTTATATCTTACACAACTTCTTCCCTACTTGATGCTGTCATTCAAGTTTACATTGACTTCATGGAAGTATTCTTTACATTTTTATTGTAAATGAAGATTTTAGAGAGAGAGGAGGAAAACAGTGTTCTCATTGCCATGCAGGGAGCCCGAAACCCACAGGTTCTATAGGACTGTGGGATGAGAGCTACTTGTCTCCTTCCAGTCCTCCAGTTGCAAGCTTTTCTCCTTGGTTGCTGGCAAATTTTGGTTCCCCAAGGTGTGAAGGACCTAGTACTATTCTTGCAATGTTGCCTTCCCTGGGTAGAACTCTCTGTGCAGCGTGGGGTCTCCGCGGACTACAGGGAGTCCATGTGGCTGGATGAGGGCCAGGGCTGGAGATGGGGATTTTCCAATAATAACCCATCCTTGTGCTCTGACCCTTGCTCTCCTGGAGTGAATAAAGCCACACCCACGATGGCTCAGATCACAGCACGTGAACTGATGAGGACTCCTCTGGTGAAGGGGCTGGGTCCTCTGTTTTATTATTATTATTATACTCTAAGTTCTGGGGTACATGTGCAGATATTGCAGGATTGCTACATAGGTATACGCATGCCATGGTGGTTTGCTGCCTCCATTCCCCCGTCACCTACATTAGGTATTTTTCCTAATGTTATCCCTCCCCTAGGCCCCCACCCCGCAACAGACCACAGTGTGGGATGTTCCCCTCCCTGCGTCCATGTGCTCTCATTGTTCAACACCCACTTATGAGTGAGAACATGTGGTGTTTGGTCTTCTGTTCTTGTGTCAGTTTGCTAAGAATGATGGTTTCCAGATTCATCCTTGTCCCTGCAAACGATAGGAACTCATCCTTTTTTATGGCTGCATAGTATTCCATGGTGTATATGTGTCACATTTTCTTTATCCATTCTATCATTGGTGGGCATTTGGGTTGGTTCCAAGTCTTTGCTATCATTGATGGGCATTTGGGTTGGTTCCAGGTCTTTGCTATTGTAAACAGTGCTACAATAAACATACGTGTGCATGTGTCTTTATAATAGAATGATTTATAATCCTTTGGGTATATACCCAGTAATGGGATTGCTGGGTCAAATGGAATTTCTATTTCTAGATCCTTGAGGAATCACCACACTGTCTTCCACAATGGGTGAACTAATTTATACTCCCACGAACAGTGTAAAAGTGTTCCTATTTCTCCACATCCTCTCCAGCATCTGTTGTCTC